TTAATGCGCATTTACAAAGGTGAATTGTAATTCTGATCAGCTTCCATATATACTTTATACACATACATATACATACACCGACACACATATACGTACATATACATATATACATACATATATACACACACACATGCATTCACATACATTTGTCTCTTTTACTCTGACAGGGTGAGATAGCTGATAGAGAAACTAGTGTGCAATTAAGCACTTAATCACTGAAGGTGATTAAGGTGCTTTTACAAGCTCAGGTTATATAGTTACATCACATACATACATTGCATAATTGATACATTACATGGTTAATCTTGGATACAAGTCCAATATATCATCAAGTGTTCCAGTACTCATATAGTAATTACACAGTTCAGCATACCTTAGCCCAGGAGGGCGAAAGTCAGTCAATATGGGACATTCTACAATATAAAGGGTGAGGAGTGAGGGGTGTGGTGGGGGTGAGGCGGGGGTGGGGGTGGGGGTGGGGGAGAGGGGTGGGGGAGAGGGGCAGGGGTGAAGGGTGGGCGTGAGGCGGGATTAGGGAGTGATTGGGAGGTGAGCGAGATGAAAGGAAGGCGACGCATACAATCCATCACTAGGGAAAGGTGGGAGTGCGTGTTCACGCTCAATTCACCACTCACGCACGCACGCACACATGGGTACCGTGATGTGGTGGAGGCTGACTCCATACACAGTTTCAAATGTAGATATAGAGCTCAGTAGGCTCAGAAACCTTTACATCAGTTGATTGACGGTTGAGAGGCGGGACCAAAGAGCCAGAGTTCAACCCCCGCAAGCACAACTAGGCGAGTACACACACACACACACACACACACACACACACACACACACACACACACACACACACACACACACACACACACACACACAAGTATTACCTGCAAGTTACCAGAGACTGATCCGAAGCAGGTTAGTAGAGCATTTAGAACATATAAACTTTTCCTCGAGACTTTGAGGCAAAGTTTATCTGTTCCGTGCCTTGGAGACTCGAGGCACGGAATTTGTAAAGGAAAATCCAGGTTGACAAACTTGCTGAAGTTCCATAACAAGATGGCAGAAATGTAACAAGATAGAGAAAGGTCGACAGACTGCATATTCCTTGACTGTTAACAATTGTGTAACTAGCTTCAAAAGCTTGCCACTGGCTTAGCTAAACGAACTCTGGTGTTCAGTTCCTGAACCCATTATGTGCCTCTGTAACCCTTTCACCACCGCCCACGGGATGGGTATGGGGTGCATAATAAAGAAAGAAATTGAAGAAATTGAATTGTCAGAAAGTATTCAATACGGTCCAGCGTGAAAGACTCCTACTCAAAATAATAAAGCAGACTGGCGTATCTGGAAGAATCCTAAGATGGGTCAGAGAGTAACTGTCAGGAAGGAAACAAAAAGTCACAGTGAGAGTGGAGAGAGAGGTTACAAGTGGAGTACCATAAGGGTCGGTTTTTGGGCCCATCCTGTACTAATATCCATCCCATACTAATATATGACAGGAAATTGGTTCCTTCATAACAAGGTTTGCAGATGATGCAAAACTAATGAGAAGCGTCAGCTCAGGGTTAGATTGTGATGGTGCAAGCGGATTTGGACACTCTCCAGAAGTGGTCTGAAAAATGGCTGCTAGAATTTAACCCAGCCAACTGCAAAGATATGAGGACTGTAACCGGAGAGCGAAGACCAGCACAGCAGTATAGGATGAAAGTTATTTTGAGGTTATCTTGAGATAATTTCGGGGCTTAGCGTCCCCGCGGCCCGGTCCTCGACCAGACCTCCTTTTTGTTACACACCCCCAGGAAGCAGCCCGTAGCACCTGTCTTACTCCCAGGTACCTATTTACTGCTAGGTAACATGGGCATCAGGGTGAAAGAAACATTCTGCCCATTTGTCTCCGCCTTCACCGGGGATCGAACCCGGAACCTCGGGACTACGAATCCGAAGCGCTGTCCACCCAGCTGTCAGGCGCCCCCCTGACAGCTGGGAGGGGAAGGGACAGCGGAAGGGAAGACAGATTCTTCAGTCAGAAAAAGAGAAATACCTGGGAGTGAACATAACCCCGAATACGACGCCCGAAGCCCACTTTAGCAGAATAACGACAGCAATAACAAGTGATTAAAGAACCCTTCATACATAATTTTATGTACAAATATTAATAACAAAAAGTGATAACACAGCTTTTGCCTGAAACTATTTATGGCTCAGAATGCTGGGCTTAGGAACTGTCCTTTGACCCAGCCAGCCCATCCGCCACACATGGAGGTAAACCTATTGTAACTATTTGATGGAAAGTACCAATATGTAGTGATGGACCATCAGAGAGTACCAATATGTAGTGATGGACCGCCAGAAGTACCAATATGTAGTGATGGACCTCCAGAGAGTACCAATATGTAGTGATGGACCGCCAGAAGTACCAATATGTAGTGATGGACCTCCAGAAAGTACCAATATGAAGTGATGGACCGCCAGAAAATACCAACATGTAGTGATGGACCGCCAGAAAGTACCAATATATAGTGATGGACCGCCAGAAAGTACCAATATATAGTGATGGACCGCCAGAAAGTACCAATATATAGTGATGGACCGCCAGACAGTGGCACATGGCCGGTTGTGATAAGAGAAAAGTGACTACCCTCCGGTTTACACGGCAGATATGGGGAGCGAACTGCATTGTGGCCGCCCTCAGTGTCTTGAACCGGCCGGCGGGAGTATCCGGGTCCCTTTGTCAGTGTAGCTGCCCGTGTGTTTGTCAGTGTATCTGGCTGTGTGTTTGTCAGTGTAGCTGGCTGTGTGTTTGTCAGTGTAGCTGGCTGTGTGTTTGTCAGTGTAGCTGGCTGAGTGTTTGTCAGTGTAGCTGGCTGTGTGTTTGTCAGAAGTCTAGGTCGTCTTTTCGTCAGTATCTGGCCGGGTGTTTAATTAATAATAATTCACAGTGAAGGAGGACTGGCAGTCAGTTTCTACACACAGTTCATACAGTGTGTCAGTCTATATGGCCGTGTATGTGTTGTATAACCCGTTACAGTGTTGTATAGCAGGTTACAACTGACCGGGAAGATCCTTCACGGAGTGCTCACTACTGATGCCTCCAGCCATAGCTCACCCAGCCAGGTACCAGGCAAGACACCACCGGATATCTTGCCAGGAATACATTACATTCATGCGCCCGCGCGCCCCCGTGCACCCTGACGGGTTACTTGTGATAATTACTTACACTCCATCAGAGATGAAGCTGCTCACACTACACTTTATTGTAGTCCAGGCAACTCTGCCCAATCACTTGCGTTCACTGCCGTTGTAACAAGGGTTAATAAAGAAGGCGCTTCCCTTGCACAAACTGCTCTCACACTGCTGCAAGAGAAGGGAAGACCCACACTGCTACAAGGGAAGGGTAGACCCACACTGCTACAAGGGAAGGGTAGACCCACACTGCTACAAGAGAAGGGTAGACCCACACTGCTACAAGGGAAGGGTAGACCCACACTGCTACAAGGGAAGGGTAGACCCACACTGCTACAAGGGAAGGGTAGACCCACACTGCTACAAGGGAAGGGTAGACCCACACTGCTACAAGGGAAGGGTAGACCCACACTGCTACAAGGGAAGGGTAGACCCACACTGCTACAAGGGAAGGGTAGACCCACACTGCTACAAGGGAAGGGAAGACCCACACTGCTACAAGGGAAGGGTAGACCCACACTGCTACAAGGGAAGGGAAGACCCACACTGCTACAAGGGAAGGGTAGACCCACACTGCTACAAGGGAAGGGTAGACCCACACTGCTACAAGGGGAGGGTAGACCCACACTGCTACAAGGGAAGGGTAGACCCACACTGCTACAAGGGAAGGGAAGACCCACACTGCTACAAGGGAAGGGTAGACCCACACTACTACAAGGGGAGGGTAGACCCACACTGCTACAGGTAACTCTACACAAAAGTTTAGTTCTGGCTTCCATCAACCAAGAAACTGACCTATGTAATGTACAAAGAAAAATATTGAATAATGTTGAATTATTCTAAACATCCATAAGTTGAGCTGTCGGTGTGCGCAGTCCTTACTTATGACAACAATAATCAGTATTTTAATTATATAAATAATAATAATGATAATAATTGATAAAAAGGTATGATAATGGACGACGTAGATGATAGAACTAGTAGTGATAATGGCAGCACTGGGCAGGTTACGACCCCAGGAGAGGAAGCGAGCATCCAGGAGGGTGCCGGCGTCATCTTGACACCCTGGGGGAGGAGGCTGCGATCATTCATCTCCTCATCTGCCCACCAGGACGAGCATCCCTCGTCCCCCCCCCCCTCACAGTAATCACATACGACGAGAAAAAAGCTTCCAGTTGCCAATATTTTCACTTGACGAGTGTTGAATAGTTTTGTTTACCGCGTAGATCACCTGTTTACAGGTAATAGCTCGTTTGTGCTGATTTATAATTAATTTACTGATTGACATTGTTTCATTATCATGGTGATCAGGAGGTAAATTGGTCCTGTAGTCTTAATGAGATGTGTAACTACCTCGCTGCCGGGTAATATTATTTTTGTGAATTGTTGTTAACAAGGAGGCAGAGGTGGTTACGAGGCTCAGGCTAACAAGGTAGTTACGAGTGCTGGAGACACCGGTGGTCCTCCAGCACTGCCTCCACACACAGTAGGTTATTCAAGTCTTTACTGGCTGTGTACTCACCTAGTTGTGCTTGCGGGGGTTGAGCTTCGGCTCTTTGGTCCCGCCTCTCATCTGTCAAACAGGTGTACAGGTGTGTATGTGTGAGTGAGTTTATTTCACAAAACAAACATCGATAATTATAAAAATAAATAAGACAATATTTAATTGCTGTTATAAAATAATAACAAAATAAAGTTGTCAAATAGAAAAGACAAAAAAATACCGCCTTTTTCACCGTAAACTTCTCAAAGAACCACAAGAAACAGGAGCAGCATCACTGCAATATAGCGAACACAGCATTACTTACATTTCTGAAGGGTGCCATTGTTCCCGCTGCTGGCCAGGACTGTGGCAGCACACGCGACAAGTAACAATAACACAATAAGAGGCGCCAGAAGCTTGACCTCCGCGAGGCAGGTCCTCAGTAAACCCCGGGAAACACACGCCATTGCCGGCCAGAGAATAAGAGTCGCACGACCGTTCGCCACCACACTCAAGACAAGACTGAGGCAGCCGGCACTCTGCCTGAGTGACCCCGCCCAGCCAGCGGACCGCCAGGTAGCGGCGGCACTGCCAAAGGGAGCGCGGGAGTCCTGCACATCATGTAGTTCATTACTGGAACATTAATTGGTTGATAAATCACATGATAACTCTAGTTGTAGAGCGTGTTTAATGGGGCTTGTTTATTATTTGGATAAAAATACGTGCAAGTGTATGAGTACTAATTTGTGTCGTGGAACGTCTGTGAAGAAGCATTTTAATAGCTTGATCATAATCTTCTAGTATAATCCAGTCATTATGGCGGCCAACGCTCCCTTGTACCAAACCCGGACATGCTAAACTCTGCCTCCAGACCCGCCACCAAGTGACAAGCCGCTGGGTTAAGCTACTGGTCCCCATCTCACATACTATATTAACTCCTCCAAACAATATATTATTTCTCTGGTCCAACTTGCCGCCCTTATAGAGTAATCATTCCTATAGTTATATCTGGCACTCGACAGACAGAGGCTGATGGCTGGTAATGGCACTCGTGGCACTACACAACTGTGAGAAGTGTTGGACACTTGACCCTCCAGTATCTTCAACACATCTGTCAACATATGTGTATCATCTGTGATACATGTGACGCGTCGTTTTGTGGAACATTTCAAGTGTCCTTTATTGTTGTTAGTGGCCTCAGTGTTGTTAGTGGCCTCAGTGTTGTTATTGTTGTTAGGGGCCTCAGTGTTGTTAATGGCGTCAGTGTTGTTAGAGGCCTCAGTGTTGTTAGTGGCCTCAGTGTTGTTAGTGGCCTCAGTGTTGTTAGTGGCCTCAGTGTTGTTAGTGGCCTCAGTGTTGTTAGTGGCCTCAGTGTTGTTAGTGGCCTCAATGTTGTTAGTGGCCTCAGTGTTGTTAGTGGCCTCAATGTTGTTAGTGGCCTCAGTGTTGTTAGTGGCCTCAGTGTTGTTAGTGGCCTCAATGTTGTTAGTGGCCTCAGTGTTGTTAGTGGCCTCAGTGTTGTTATTGTTCTTAGTGGCGTAGCACACAAAATGAGGTCAATGGGTATAACTGCTGAAGTGGGACGCTGGATACTCCATTTCCTGTCGAACAGAACACAAAGAGTAACAGTCAATCAAATAAAATCGAGTCCGAGCAGTTAAAAGCTCTGTACCTCAAGATACAGTCCTTGCACCACTGCTTTTCCTTATTCTCATATCAGATATAAACAAAAATACAAGTCACAGTTTCGTGTCATCCTTTGCAGATGATACAAAAATCAGCATGAAAATTACCTCTGCTGAAGACATTGTAGTTTTTCAAACAGATATTGACAAAGTTTTTGACGTGGCAGCAGAAAATAACATGATTTTAGCAGTGATAAATTCCAGGTACTCAGATATGGCAAAAATGAGGATCTGAAACATAATATAGGATACAAAATGCAATTGAATCTGCTCATAGTAGGAAAAAAGCATGTCAAGGATTTGGGAATAATGATGTCCGACGATCTAACGTTTAAGGAGCATAACCAAGCAAATATTGCATCAGCCAGAAAAATGATAGGATGGATTACGAGAACTTTCAAATCCAGAAATCCCATCACAATGGTTGTACTCTTCAAGTCACTTGTGTTGTCCCGTCTTGAGTACTGCTCAGTACTCACTTCCCCCTTCAGAGCAGGAAAGATTGCTGAAATAGAGGGAATACAGAGAACATATACGGCACGCATAGACGAGATAAAACACCTAAATTATTGGGATCGTCTCAAAGCTCTCCAAATGTACTCACTAGAAAGGAGACGAGAGAGATACCAAATAATATACACGTGGAAAATACTGGAGGGCCAAGTACCAAATCTACACAGTAAAATAACAACGTACTGGAGTGAACGACATGGAAGAAAATGCAGCATAGAACCAATGAAGAGCAGAGGTGCCATAGGTACAATCAGAGAACACTGTATAAACATCAGAGGTCCGCGGTTGTTCAACGTCCACCTAGCGAGTATAAGAAATATTGCCGGAACAACCGTGGACATCTTCAAGAGGAAACTAGATTGTTTCCTCCAAGGAGTGCCGGACCAACCGGACTGTGGTGGGTATGTGGGCCTGCGGGCAGCTGCAAGCAACAGCCTAGTGGACCAAACTCTCACAAGTCAGTAGAGTAGGGGAGTTTGGGAAGTAGAAGAACTCCCAGAACCCCATTAACCAGGCGTCAGTGTTGTTATTGTTGTTAGTGGCGTCAGTGTTGTTAGTGACGTCAGTGTTGTTAGTGACGTCAGTGTTGCTATTGTTGTTAGTGGCGTCAGTGTTGTTAGTGGCGTCAGTGTTGTTAGTGACGTCAGTGTTGCTATTGTTGTTAGTGACGTCAGTGTTGTTAGTGGCGTCAGTGTTGTTAGTGACGTCAGTGTTGCTATTGTTGTTAGTGACGTCAGTGTTGTTAGTGGCGTCAGTGTTGTTAGTGACGTCAGTATTGCTATTGTTGTTAGTGACGTCAGTATTGCTATTGTTGTTAGTGACATCAGTGTTGTTAGTGACGTCAGTGTTGTTATTGTTGTTAGTGGCGTAGTCCCACACTGTGCAGTAGACTACGGGGGTCTACAACTATTGTACGGACAACTCAGATCGAACTGAGGGGAAGGGGAGTGAATTATCAGGGAGAAAGCGCCAAGCCATTACGACTATTGCATTGGAAAGGGGTCAGGATAAGGATTTGGGATGGGACGGGGGGAATGAATGGTGCCCAACCACTTGGACGGTCGGGGATTGAACGCCGACCTGCATGAAGCGACACCGTCGTTCTACCGTCCAGCCCAAGCTGGACGTAGATCTGGCTGAGTAGATCTGAATAAATATAGAATCTGTTATAACGTATATAAGTCTCTTAAATCCGAGCTGAAGTTTATTGTGTCTAAAGAACTGAATTTTAATTTATTGCCAGAGACGGTCCGGTGGCAGCGGGGTGTGGCCACGGTGGATCATTGTGACTATTATTACTGGCTCAAACTTCCCTGGAATGTTGACTAAACCTCACACTAGAAATTGAATAGAATGTTTATCACCGACAAACTCCTAGTAACTATAACATGACTCGCAACGAAATAAATTTAAAATTGTGCAAATTACATTGTGGCAAACTCTAGTTGCTTCACGGAATACTTCAGCAAGAGTTAAGTAGTAAGTTTATAGGAGTAGAGAGTGAGCATCAGTCAAGCCACGGTCACTGTTCACCCCATAACGCAGTAGTGAAGGACACGACCACATAAGTGTTTAACTGCGACGCACACACGCAGGTCCTCAACGTGTGAGCCTTGATGACTGTCTCGTGACTGGACCCTCACTTACACAAACAATAGGAGAGATGCTGGTAAAATTCCTCGTGAATCGTTATGCTCTCGCCGGTGACATATGTAGAGCGTTCCATCAAGTAGTGTTGCAAGAGTCAGAGAGCATTACGCAACAAATATCTGGCTCGTTGATCCCGGAGATCCAGAGACACCTCTGGTGACATACTCTCTCTCAGCGCTATTTCACGCGGCTTCTTCACTATCTTGCAAGAAACCATAGTTAATATGAGAGACTCCGACAGTCAGCACAGAGATGCAGTAAACCAGGGAGGCTATGTGGACAACGTCCCAAGATACCGAGGAAGAAGAAACCATGCAGGTTAGGATGCCAACACAACCACCAAAGCATCAGTCATGCCTCAGCAAGGGACGGCTTCCAACAGCAGCTTCTGAACATACAAAAAGAGTCGTATTTAAGGGTTACATGGTACAGGAGTCCACAGACATGCTGGGAATCCAGCGGAACTCAGGGCACTTAAGCAAGCAGAACTGCAGGCTAAAGCATTAACAAAAACGAAGCTCTTGTCATAAATCTCGAAAGTGTTTTACAAAGTACTATGGAGAATGAACCACATATTAATTGGTTATCCAATAAATATCATAATATTTCTTAGCCTCGGTTACAAGTACCTCTGTGAGTTTAAAACCACCCATAGACCTGAACAAAGGTAATATCTGTCAGCAGAACTATTCACATATCTGACGTCACTATAATATGTAAAAAAATAGTAATTAATATATATGTGTCTCACGAAATGTGCAAGTATTAAAGGAAATAAGAGTGGCCATAACTGTAAACAAATTAACAAAATATAAATTAATGAACTAAAAATATATTGGAAAAACAGTTTAATATATCAAGGAAAGTGTTTTGCGTGGCCAGTCAGTTTAAGCGAGAGAGAAGTTGGCAAGCTGATGCTATTGCCAGCTTGAGTGTGAGAGAAGAAGGCATGTTGATGATGAAGTCAGGTTAAGTGATAGAAGTAGACAGGCATATATTGCAGCCAGCTTTAGTGAAAGAGAAGCAGGCAGACTTATGCTGTGGCCAGCGTGAGCCAGAGAGGTAAGCTTATGCTATAGCCAACTTGACCGAAAGAGAAGACGACAAGATGATGCTGCAACCAGCTTGAGTGGGAGAAAAAACATAAAAGTTGGTGCTGTAACCAGCTTGTGTTACAGAAGTAGACAAGCATATGCTGTAGACAGCTTGTGTGGGTGACAAGTAGCCAAGCTGGTGCTGTAGTCGGCGATACCGTAACACCACATACACTCTCGGCCCTCACATCCCCCTACACCCCCCCCCTCGTCTCTACACGCAGATCCACACCTCTACACCCCACTCACGGCTCCACACCCCACACCATCCACGTCCACACCCACGTATTCACACTCCACACTCGCCAACACCAACGCCTCCACACCTCACCCACGCTCCCATCTACGCTGCCACACCCCACGAACACCCTCGCCTCCACACTCCACCCTCGCCTCCACACTCCACCCTCGCCTCCACACTCCACCCTCGCCTCCACACCCCCACCCTCGCCTCCACACCCCACCCTCGCCTCCACACCCCCACCCTCGCCTCCACACTCCACCCTCGCCTCCACACCCGACACCGGCCTCATCCCCTTAGGAAGCTTGAAATGGG